CCGCAGCTCATCGTCCCCGTCCTCATCAGACCTGAGCCATGTCGCTGCCCGGAGCCCCGAGGTTCGGGGGGCTCTGGGTGGCCCCCCCATTCACCTTTCATTATCAGCAGAGGATGAGGGAGATGATAGCACTCAGGGCTCCTGCAGCACAGACAGGTTTCGGACTAAATGGCCCCCAGACAGCGGGAGGCTGATTTCCTCTCTTTTCATCCACTGCCCACAATTTGAGGGCCATTACAATCAGAGGCGGGGGGACCAGCGCTGTGACGGGCGTGATTTAACTGGGTCCTGGCCACGAACCTTTCAGACGTTTTTTTTTTTTTTGCTTTACAGAAACTCTCGATTCTCGTGATGCAGATGAGCTCGTCCATCAGGTTTCCCCACCCTGCGAGGTGTTTACCATGAACTTCCTGCACGCATAGCTTGCAGGGATGGAACTAGCCTAAAAATACCTTGAGGATGAGGAGTTTCAGGCAGCAGAGCTAGTCATGAGGAGGGCATGAGGCCCTTTTGAAACTGGTCTTTCAGAAAAAAGACAAAGTAATCAGAACACTGGATTTAAGGTATTTTTATTTTAGTGTTCCATGAAACCAAAAGGCATTTAAAAACCCAGGCTAAAAGCAGACAGTATAAACAGGGAAAAATACATTCAGATCCTTCAATAATAAAACAATACATTTGATTCTTAAGGCCCTTAAAGTCAAGGTGTAGCACCTTGCTGGACATAAAATGCCAGTCCCCTTACGCTGAAGAAAGGCTTTAACTAGTATTGCCAATAAAAGACTGAGGTACAAGGTTTGTGCGATGCTTTCACGGCCACGGAAGTTGAAGTGTGGCTGGTGCAGAACCGTGACCCCGCAGCAGCACCGGTGCTGCTCTGGCAGGAGGCTCAACCCCTGCAACTGCCGGAGAGAACAAACCCAGGGGCAAAAGCCAGACACAACCCGGGGTCCACCTCAATGGACACGGTTGTAACTGGCACAAAAGGCTGCCAGGAGAGGACATTACAAGTTTTAAGGCATAGTACCGCTCTGTTTCTGTGCATGTAACTTGAAGATGCATGTTCTTGCCCACAGGAATGCACATGATCCAAACTTCATAAAATCCGTACTACAAAAGCATCGCACACAGCACCGTGGTGCCTTCAGCAGCCAGCGACTCAGTAGTACCCATATTGTTTTCAAATGAGGCCAGTAAAAAGCAAGAGTCCAATCTTGCTTCCCATGTGTCCAGTTATGACTATCGATAATACCATTTTTGAGTTTTGAACCGCTAAGTCACTGTTCAAAGGCACAACCGGTTTTTCTGACTCTCTGACCTAGAACATCAGAAAGCTGTGGAATAAAGTCTAGAAGACAAGTTTATTAGTGAGGTATAGGCAACCGTTTCTTTCCAGAGATCCACTGAGGCACAGGAGGAAACAAATTAATCCTTCATTTTCCTCACTATTTCAAGGCACGAGAAGCAGCAGCAGTTTTCAGTAAGGCCAACCAGTACCACTCAAAATCAAAACCACCAGCCAAGAGTTGAAGATACCACTAAGACCCTCTGCGTTTCAGACCCTTCATTCACAGAAGAGGGTACAGTAGAAAAGAAAGAACCCCTTCACTGAAGACATCTGCTCAAATAAAAATAAAATCAGAAAAAAGTACCTGAAGTCTTAGAAGACTCTTAACGCTTAAGACTTGTTTCAACTCAAGCTTCCCGTGAAGGAGAGCTCTGTCAGAAAAGCTCAAGACTTTGGTAGTTAGTCAGTTTACAGTAATAAAAATGTAATTAACAGCATTTTTTTAATTTTCCAATAAATGTATACATCTCTAGGCAAATATATTAAACTACTCTTCACTACAAAAATACAGTATTTGAGAAGTCTCCAGTAGTTTTCAGTGTTTTATGAAAATAGTAAGCAGACTACTAACAGGTTGATAGTCGATCCAGCTAGTCTAGTCCCTCAATAAAGTGCTTTGCTGTAGAAAAACTGAGTTAGAAACTCGCCCCTTTCGAGCTAAGCCAGGCGCGACCCGATAGACCCTTCCAACTTCCAAAGGCAGGAGCGTTTGCTTTGGTCCTCTGCTACCCACTCTTTTTGGTATTTCAACTTTCTTCTAAGCCTTTTATGGACTCTCACAACCCTGATAAATTCCAGAGAGGCATCTGATTTTTTTTGTTCTTTTACAAGAGCTCGCCAAAAAAAAAGCCACATTTAGTTTTTCAGTGGAGGAAGCCTGTTGTGGTGGCTGCTCTTAGCGCTATGCTGTTATTTGCTGTCCGATGAGATGGGGAGGAGAACATACCTGTCCCTACCAAGCTGCAAAGCAGCCACACATTAAGGAAGCAGACTGAGAGGTATCGATTGTCCAGCAAAACCAGCACTCTCTCCCAGCTACATAAAATTTTCATTCCATTCCGAGCAGCAAGTCACAAAAAAAACCAAATCAGATTTGAGCACTAGCGTTGTGACTGCTCCGTCCCCAGGGGAGGGCGATTAGGTTCCTCTCTTGGCTGTATAAGGAATGCACGAAAGAAAGCGTTGTAAGACTGATCACCTTTGAAGGTCGTTCCAAGGTAAGCCTCAGCTCCAAAGTCCAAGGTATTTACATTTAATAAACTGCAATGGTGTAAAAGAAAAATCGTCACAGAACTCCCACACAGCAAGAGACATGGGCCACGTACGTGTACTGTGAAATCCACACCTATTTAAGACTACAGAACAGAAACTGGGCATACCTTTGCCTCCCTTGTTTGAAGGATCTTCGAATCTGGAATTTGAAGTCTGTAAGAGAACTGACTTAAAATGCACCTTTGGCCCGAATTCATTACTACCGTTCCTATGGTAGAAAAACGCACCATGACATCTCAATGTTTCCTATATCAAAAAAAACTGTAAACCTTCCCCTTGGAGAACGGCATTGAAACAATATGTACTTTAAGAGATTAACTAAGCTTTGCTTCTTCCTTTCCAATGTAAGATTTAACTTGCATTCAACTTTTAATTACTTTTAATTACTTTTAAAATACTTTTAATTACTTTTAAAATACAGCCCACACAGCCCTGGTCTGAAGCACACATCTTTGGACTTCTCCAGTGTAGTTATTAATGATTTTTTTTTAAAAAGAATCAAATCCTCAAGCTCTACTGTACAAGATTTTATATTGCACTACAACTTAAGATATGGAAAGAAGAGTAATTGATCTATCAAAGCTTCTACGAAACAAAACCATTTAAAAAAATCTTCATAAAGGATCATCAGTGCCTTGCTGGCAAACAAAACACATCAAAAACCCTTCATCCTTCCTATTGCAATCAGCCTTTGGATTAGATGCCTGAACAAATCTTCCCAAATAATGGAAAGAAACAAAAAAATAAATACGGTAAGTTGACTCCGCTTCTGGTCTCCATACACAAGAGCTGATGTAACTACTAATCAAACAGAGTTGCTCAAGACAGAAACAGGAAAGAGGTCATTTTCTGTGGGCAGCACAACCGGTACCACCTACTTCACATCGTCTCCTTATTAATCAAACTCCGCTGGCGGGAATTCAGTCCTTTGTTCAACCAACGTCCCAAGAGCTTTTACATCTTGCCAGCTTTTTTGTTTCCAGACATCGAAACACGAAGAATGTTTGGGGTTTCTTCCATGACTCTGACAAGCAAGTTATCGATGTAGTCTTCAAGCTCACGCACCTGGATATCTTTCTTGGTAATTGTATCCTTCTGTTTCAAGACCAGCTGGATCAGCTCATCGTGTGTAAGCTGAGCATAGGCATAGGCAGGATCTGAAGGATCATATTTCTTTGAGAGAGAAGAAAGGCAGGGTCATTACAGACATACGGGCACTTCAGAATAGCAGCAGAATGGTATCTGGTAGCTGGCTTGTGGGATTTAAAGCACAAGCTTTACACACGGCGTTTGGAGAACCACAGCCGCTCTTCAAAAGTATTACTGTGCTTCCTATCTTTTTAAAAATAAGTTCCATCCAAATGGCATTTCGGAACATCAGTCATTAGCACTTTATGATCAAGAAAAGCAGGCTGCCCCCGGCCAAGCTGCACAACGGCCAAGGCACTAACAATGACAGGGAGAGGCTGGCAGGCCAGGTAACCTTTCTGCTACAAAGCAGCTTGCGGGCCACTAGCAAATCCAGCCCGAAAAAATTCATACAAAACACTATCTACTCATGCACTTCCAGAATGCAGAATATTTTTTTGGAAGTATTTGGAAGAAAAAAGAGCAACTGCCTCAGAGTAAGTGCATGCTACTTATGGCACAGCGACACGATTGATAGAGCTTAGGCAGTCTTCTCCAGAACAGAAGGCAGGCTCAGAGCAAGACAGACGTTATGGACGGTAACCAGGCCATCGGTTTTAGCATAAAATCTTTGCGTAACATCAGTTCTGTAATTCAACTCTTCTCTAATTTACGCGGAAAGAATGTCATGCTGACTCCAGGCAGCAGCCCATCCAGCTTAGCGAAGATGCATGGAAGTTACAGCCATGCCCCATCAACTACCATCATTTGCAGAAGCGCACTAGGACGGCTATTGCTTAAAACATACCATAGACTAGGAAAGCCAAACTCAGGTTAACAGCAAGAAACACCCACCTCGGCCTCTGGCATTTCCCTCTTATTGTAGTTATGACTGTGAAAACACATCACAACACAGCTTCTCTGAAAAGTCTGCTTTTAACCCTTAAGCAAACTTGACAGCTACTTAGCAGCTTCTGCCAATTCCTCCCACTACCTCCTCAGACGCTAAACCAGAATGCCAGCCCAGGCTTTTCTTTCACAGGGAGCATGCATACAACAGGCTCGCGTGACTACATCAAGCATAATTTCTTATGTGGAATCAGAGCACCACACCAGAATACTAATTACAAGTTTTCAACTCATTCAAAATAGCAACACGTCACTTTGAATCACTTAACTCGCATTTTCTTTTTTCCCCACTTACACCAGAAGGAGGCACTACAGTTATTGTGGTACTAACTTTTCATTTTCCCTAAAAAACCCTTAGAGACAATAACGGTACCCAGGGTTTTTCCTTGCTGACCCAGAGACGCTTCTAGCCATTCTGATCAGCGTGACTTTTAAGCTACGCCTCAAGCCTGGAGGTCTCTTTTGAGGCCAAGATTATGCAAAAAGCTCCTTTAAATCTGAGTGATTATGCAAGCTGCACAGCTACGCTTTTAGGAAGCAGCTGTGCTTTAAAGGCAGGTGCCTGGTCTCTCAATCTGCACAGGATATTAATGCAATACATTACAAGGCAACAGGCACCCTGAGGTTACTTTTCCCACCTTCTCAGCTTAAAGAGCCACATATTTCTTTCAGGTGAAAATGAGCTTTGGGGACTAATCACGTTGGACAATAAACAGTGACTAATTTGTCCAATCTCCGGTGCAGATCCAAGTTACGCAGCTCCCACACGTCACCAACGGGACTATCTTCCAGGGGTAGCACCACCCATGAGTCACCCGTCGTTCCTGTCACCACCACCTCATGGCTCACACACATCCCGCTCACCTCTGGGGAGTCAGACAGCACCCCGCACTCCTCTCCACTGAGAATTCCCTCCGCAAACAAGAGACACCAATTCTATTATAGATCAGTTTGCAAGAAAAAAAATATTTAAAGACTGTCCCCACCTTTGGGGATGGCAAAAAAAAAGTTCATGCCCCCCATGGTCTAATAACCACTGTTCTTTTTCTGCTCAGGATGAGATATGAGCCTAGGCAAACTATCTCGAATACATGAACTCTATTCAATTTACTGCTTAAGCTTTGGTTTAAAGTGCCACTTTCCTCCATACCTTCACGTTCATCTCGAGCAGCTTTTCATTCATAGTGCTGATGACATTCAGGTTTTTACTTTGAGACTTGTTTGCTGTGGCATTCATTGGCTTCACAGGATGGAGCCTGCAACAGTAAAAAACGTTTATGTTATTTAGGCAGTACATGTAACATCAGCACTACACAGTTTTTCAGACTAAAACCAAATATAGCAAGAAATTGGGAAATTTCCTACCCTTCTCTATCTCCAGAGAGATAAGAGATTCAGCTTCGGGAAGACAAGGCATTTCTGTCTAAGCTATAGGCTTTTTATAAGTATACTCCAGTTCTCTTCCTCTGTCTTTATTGACTTAAGGCATTGGAGGTAAAGAAGCAGTAACAAGGGAAATACATCCTGAATGGTACGTCACAAAAGAAAAGCCAGGTCAGTCTACACGAGAAGGCAGTACACAGCGGCAGTTACTCTGATTTCTCACGCACTAGTATTTGAGCCTAACTTTCCTAACGAGAACATATTTCTTGTTCTTGCAAGATATCAAATACTTCCACTATCCTGGGACAAGCATGTATTACGCCTCTTCCAATCTGAACTTACGCCATAAGCTGCCAAAAAGTGCTATCTTCATTTGCTCGAACAGGATTTATATTGCCAATTTTAATACAGGAAGAAAATTTTACTTGTATCTCAGCAAATGCCGGCCCAGAAGTGTCCTAGACCCCAGATGGGGTTCTGCAGATAAAGTACTGAGGGCTGACAGGTCAGCGGCACTGTTCCTCGGACAACAGTACCCCAGCAGGCAGGAGAAGCTGCAGACAGCTCCAGAAAGCAGCCATGCGTTCTTGGGAGAGAGAGGCTTTAGCTGCATCGCTTGCTGCGATTCACTTCGAGGCTCAGGAGCCCAGTTCAGCCAGGAAAGGAAGCATCCCAGTTTATCAGGCTTCCTGTGACCATTCTCTCATCTCTGAAAAATGGATGAATTGCAGTCCATTTCCCCAATTTGACGAAATGACCTATTTCTTAAACTGTGACCAAGTTTCCCTAACATTTCTCCTAAGAGGTAGCACTGTGATGAATGGCAGGTCCCCTCGAGTGCTCTGGGCATCCTTAATAGCTACACAGATTCATCCGGAGCCAGCAATGATCCTACACTGGCATGATAGGACCCAGGCCCCAACAAATCCACGGCCGGAGGAAGTTAAGGCTGTACGATGCCATGTCACTGCAAAGCACAGTAAATTCCTGGAGAGACAGATCTGCGCTCACGGGAAGAAAAAGCAAGGCTCACATCAGCACTGAGATACTTTCTGTGTATCTCCCACATTCTCTCACCTGTGCTTAGGAGACACGGTTTCACCACTCTGCTGAGTTTGGTTAGGATATGTTTCAGAGGGTGAAACCCATGCCTGAAGAAGCTTCTTCTTGCCAGAATTTCCTGCTTTATCTGCGAAGCCCTCGGCTGTTGGCTTTTTCGGAGACTCTGCTCTACGACTTGGGGTAACAGAGGAGAGAGAATGAGAGGAAGAGTAGGGCTGGGAAGGACTTGACAGGGAGGAAGAGGAAACAGAAGGCTCAAAGAAGTGACACTCTGCACGCTCCTCAACACCTGCACTTATTTTCAGTTCTTGTTTCTCAAAATGACTATTACGCTCCCTGGAATGAGATGTCATATCTAAGCCTGAGTCAGCTACCTGGTTATCGACACTGTGAACATCTACTCTGGCAGGCAGCACGGGTGGTTTGCTTGGCTTACAAGCACCAGGAGCACTTCCTCCTCCTCCCGGAGCGGCCGGGGTTACTTGGGCTGCAGCAGAGCTATCAGAGTGCTCTTTCAGTTCTTCATGCAAAGGCATTAAATCTAAGGACTGCTTTCCAGTCTCTGAGATGTTTTTATCACCTGCAGTGACACCGTGGTTCTCCTGACAGTCACCCAGCAACTCGTCATCGGAGCCTCCCTCCGGAATAACTGGAAGACTGGCCAGTTTCGAACCACGGTCTCCGCTAATGGGAATGGCAGACTTCAAATTTGTAAGACAGTCAAATAAATCGTTGTCACCTTCATTTTTTAAATGCCTATTACTGCCATCATCTCTGAGCGTCACTGGTGGAGTGATAGTCTCTAATGAGCCACTTTGGGGGAGGCACCCATGAGCATCTGAGGCTTTCTCATTAGGTAATGGGAGCCCAGGCGCAGATTTTACACCATCGCCTGAAGAAGGCACGTCACCACTTAACTCATCAGCCTGAGAAACCGGTGGGCACTTTTTCAGCGTTAAAGACAGCCGTGGTGCTGGCTTTGGAGTGACTAACACCTCACTGCCAGCCCTCCCTACAGTGGCTTCCCAAGGGGACAGTGTGCAAGCTCCCAAGGTTGGTCTGGCAGATCCTACTTGAGAAAATGAGTCATTTTTATCAAGCGGAGTTGCTTGGGGCTCTAACATGGGTGCACATTTTTCTTGTCTCTTTTCACCAAAGATCTCATTCAGCTTGCTCTCGGGGGAAGGTGGCTGTTCAGCACCGATCTCTGGCAAGAGGCTATTACTACACTTCAGGAGAGATGCAAAGTGTTTGCCGTCCTTTGTGCACGGTTCAGTATTTACACCACCTACTTCCACACCACCCTGAACAGCAGTCTCGCTGTTTCGGATGGGGTCTATACTGTCACTAGAGAGTTCTGACGTTGGATAGCACCCTGCTTCCAGTTCGCGAGCAAACCCGGCTCCCTCTCCTGTTGCATCTGACCCTGTCAACAACATTTCACTGAAATCAGACTTTTCACGTCCCTGCCCACCCAAATCCTCATCACCTGATGTAACACCCTGCAATCCACCAAGGAGAAAGGACACAGATTTTGGGTTGCCTAGCTTAGCTCTTTTCAAAGAAGTCTCAACCTGAAGCTGGGGAGAATCGCACTGCTTCTTTGGAGCCAGGCCAGGGTTGTCAGAAAGGGTGCCGAGAAGGTTTGACACAGCTTTGACATTACTAGTTAAAGCCACATCTGAAGAGCTCCCTAAGGCATCGCGACCAGAGTGTTTCAGCTCAGCAGGGTGTTCTGTTGAGGAACAGTCTTCATCACAAGGAAGGCAGGAAGGGGAAGAACTAGCAACAGCTTTGAAACCTGGCACATCTGGTTCCCACCCAAGCTTGGATACAAAGGGATTATTGTCATTAAAATGACAATCAGAGGGGAGAGAAGGTGCGGGTGGGCGAGAGAGACCCCGGGAAGCCCGCGTATCAGAGCTTTCAGGACCGTGGCCCCGTGAGCTCTGCCCCCATTCAGAAGCAAAAGGATTATTACCACTACCAGAGACCTGCACAGGCAGAGGCGTTTTGGGAACAGAGGCTGCAAGATGATGGGATGAAGGGAAACAGGCAATGCCTTCAGGATCCAGGGCTGCAGATGCCCTGCCCCACTCGGGAGTAAAGGGGTTCTTGCCATTCAAAAGCTCTGCAGCAAAAGGAGGAGGAGAAGTAATAGATGCAGGAGAACTAGTAATGTTTTCAGAGTCTGGCACTTTGACTTTTTGTCCTGTTTTAGAAATAAAAGGATTATTGTCACTACTGATATGGTGCACAGAAAGAAAAGCAGGAAGGGAATCAGGTGCAAGAGTAGGAAGTGTGGCTTTGGTTTCCTCCTCTGAAGACACGCCCAGTCTGCAAAAAGGGACAAAAAACTCGCATGTCACTTGCAGATGCAACACGAGGCCGGAACAGACAAGCTTTAGCACCAGACTCCATCAACTCCTAACACTGAAGATGAATTGTACTTGCAAGAGACCTCAGAGCCTATCTGATAGACTTTACATACTTAAATGTGTCTTTACAAAGCACTCAGTTTATGTCAGAACACTTCTGCTGTAGAGTTTGCACAGGTTACTGCGCTGGCTGCTTTTAAGCACTATCTCATCTTTTGCACCCCAAGCAATTTTATTAGTAAGACACTTCATATGCAAGATGTTTAAACACGAGAAGCACTGAAAATAAGGAGTTAGAGAAAGACACAAAACGTAGCCTTATTAGTAGGACACACCCCTATATATATATATATATCAAAACACATACACAGAGGTGTTTTTTTATATATATATATACACACACACACATATACATATACATATATATATATATATGAAGGATAAAGGAGCAGAGTTTCCGAAAAAGCCTTGGGTACCAATTCACACAAATGTCCTTCATATTGCTGTGAACAATGCCAAAAGCAGAAGGGCTCCAAGATTAACACTTTTGAAGACCACAGCCAAATACAGAAGAGAAAAGGAGAGATGTTAGAACTGGTATTTCAGCCCCTGGGTACGTTCAAGCCACACAGCTCAGCGGAATGTTAGTTTTTGCAAAGGATCCAGCAAGAAAAATCAACCCTACAGTACCTGCAAAGATGCCTGCACTCAGAGAACCACTATTTCGGCATCACTTATAAGGAATATCCCTATATCAATACCTTTTCATACTGAGAAAGAACTCAGAATTATTATTTGTTATCAAAGGGCCCAATGGCCAGCTTAAAACCACCAGGTACCCTGCAGAGCAACAGGCTTCTGCCGCATGCAGGACGCCAAGTTGAGAAGCGCTGCTCTGTGGCACGTTAAAACCCACCACCACCGCTGCACGTCGCTATTTATGTCAACCTCCGAGGCAAACACGACTGACCTGGGCTTGACAGCTTTGGTCTTTGCCGGTGCAGCAGCTTTTTCAGGTTTCCTTTCTTCTTCGAAAGGGTTGAGCGGCTGCTTATTTGCAAAGACGTCTTCCGCACGGTGACTGTCTTCTGAAGGATTCCCTCTGCTTAAATCTGCTGGAAGTTCAAGACGTTTGGCCTCTTGTTCGCTCTTCTCTTCTGGAACTTTGTTTTCCTCATCCTGCAGGGTCCTGTCAGGAATATTCTCAGCATCAATGGTCTTCGCTGCCTCCTTCTTCCCTGTGACCAGAGAGAGCAAGGCAGACTTTTTGTGGTCCGTTTTTTTGGTCTCTTTAATAACCTCGACAGTTGGAGCAACGCTGGTTTCTGGGTATTCTTCACTGCTAAGCAATTTGTATGACGGCAAAGTCATAGATTTAAAGGTCTCCAAGGATGCAGACCCAGAGAAAGCATAACTAGGAGATGTTCTTCCCGTCTCTTCAGGTCCTTTAGTAGATCTAGAAGACAAGTTCTCTTCTGAAGCAAAGAGCTGCTTCCTCCTGAAGTTGAGAGGAGAGGGGGAAGAGACTGGAGTGTTGTCCTTCGTCGTGCCCTCTTCCATATAAACATGACTGCCATTGATACACAGACTAGACTTGGAAACAGGATCGCTTTTGGATTTAAGGCCACTGAATAAGGAGAGCCCTTCTTTCTTGGTGTGGCTAGTGGTTACTTGGTTTAGTTGCCTGCTGTCCAAAGTTGCTGTTTTACGAGATTTAAATATGGGAGAAGGAGAGGACTTCTCTTCCAGGGCATTTCCAAAGGCTTCTGGAAAAAATAAACGGGGAGAAATTCAAGATGCAAGAACATCCTTTCCTCTGACACTAGCTACTGACAACCTCAGTCAATGCTGTTGTTCGCAGCAACAGAAACATCGCAAGTGTGACTATACCAGCCACTTCCAGGCCTTCTGGGTCCCCGACCAGTGCCAGCCCTCAGCACGCCGGATCGCACACGCCATCCAATGACTGAAAACCACCACAGATCACTTACTGTGAAGCTGCACCGCCAACACGTGCGGACATTGCTCGCGCAGCCCCACAGTTTCCATGCTATCCCAAGGTAAGCTTAGCCGTGAGTGTCTAACGTCCTACGTGCATACCCACCACCATGGACAGAAGTGACTTTCTAGGGATTCATTCAGTAAGAATTTAACTAGTACTCTAAAAAGCATGAAAAGTGCAAGCAAACCTTTGGAGAAAGGCTTTGTGCTTCATCAGTGCAGAGAGTGCCAATACTCACTTTCTGAGGTTGGAGAGGTCTCCGACTCCTCGTCGTCCCATTGCGACTGGAAGTCGCTGGGCCGAAGCCGAACCTTCTCGGTGACGGGCTGCTGCGTCGGTAGGACTGACATGGACTGGGAGAGGGAAGTCTTCTGCAGGCCAGGTTTGGAAAACAGGGTTTTGAACTTTGATTTCTTCTTTTCCTTCTCGACCGATTCATCTTCGCTGTCAGCAGGCGAGTGAGTCGTGCTGGGAATGATCGCCGATGCCGTGTCGGAAAGGCCACTGCTCCTCTTCCCCTTGAGCTTGTCTTTGAGCTTGCCAAAGGGAGAGCGAGACTTGTCTTTCATGGACAGATCAAACATACTGGCTGTCATGTTGCTCCTCATAAACTGGATATCCACTTCAATCTCCCCTCTCTCCTTTTCCTTCTTCCCTGGTTTGGAGCGAAGCTTGTACCACCTGCAGAAACAAGGAGATTTCTTTTACAAACAAGTTCTTGAGAGGCAGAGATAATTTAGAACAACAGAGGGTGTTTATGTTTTAAAAACCAAATAAGCCTACAGTGTAGAAAAAAAAAAGAAAAGCCTTTAATCTTACAACTACGTCATAATCACATGGCCCCAGGTGCCAAGGAAAACATTTCTTATCGTAAATAGAAAGTTATTAGTAAAATTTGTTTTAAAACCCAGACCAGGAAGGGTTAAAAAAAAGAAGAAAAAAAAAAAAGAAACACACCATGGAATTCCTGTATATCGGCTCAGCCACTCTCTTCTGTGCTTTTATCTGGCTTCCCGAAAGAAATTCGCAGAGGTTAGGACTTTGAAGTGGGTGCGAGAAGCAGCCTGAGAGAGCTGAAACCGGTACCAGAGAGCTTGCACACACGCCCCACGCCCTCATGCCTTTCATTCCAGCTTCTTTTCAGTTGCTATCTTAATGCCTCCTAAGCTAAGGAACCCCTAATCAACAGAACCAGAGCCAAACCAAGCCTTACGCACCGTCTGGGGATTTCCACTCACCTCTACGAGCTCGTGACTGGAGTGCACCAGGAAGGACATTCATGACAGACTGAACCTTATCCCTTTCTGAAATGCAGCTCCAGAATGTTATACGCACTGCATATTAAATAAGCGCTCAGGGTATCCTAAACTGCAGAAACACCAACTGCATGCCGCTATCGCACATGCTCAATTACCACTCAATGACATTCAAACCACATTAGGGCCGGCAAAGAAAATTATCAGCACTGTGCACCAATACTTTTTTGTCTACTGCTGGAGCCACAGACTTCCCGACTCCACAGAACCGATAGGAAAGGCCGCCTGGAAAACGCCAGCTTCTTCCTCCTCACCAGCTGGTACATGAAAATAAAGGAAGTGAACAGAGCATGCAAATCTGCCTCTCCATCAAATTTGCACTTCATTCCCTTGAAGGTGCACTGGAAGCAATGGAAGAGAATGGGAAAAGGCAATTTGCTTCAGAGAAAATTCAAAACTAACGAGCATTAACTGAGGGAGATTAATTCAGAAATCTGCTACAGAGAAACACATTAGAGGGAAACGAATGCTCAAGCACCATGCTACAGTTAGATGTTCAGACCTGAAGTTACAAGACACCAGCACCAGGGAAGGGATTGTTTACGGAGATGCCAGGTTTTGTCAGGTCCCTAAAGCTGCAGTCTCCAGCGGCAGCAGCAAGGGAAGCACAAATCCTTTGCCTTTAATGCAAGCCAGCACTGGGTACTTTTGTTCTAAACCTCGTGATTTCTAGGAGCATCCTGCACTTGTACAGTGCCACAACAATTCACTCCGCGCGCTCCCTGCCCCAGGGAAAGAACAGGCCCTGTTCGAACGCACCCAAAATACAAACTGTGTGTTCAGCGAAAGGCAGCTTAGCACTGAAACACGGCCATCGCTTTGAGCGGCACACCGCTACGTCCACCCCAGAGCAGCTGAAAGTAAATAATGTACTGACAACCTCCCCCCCAAAACTAAAAAATATGAAATCTTATTAATTTCATTTATTATGTTAGTGTGCACCTGTCAATCAACATGCATTTATTTTGCAAATAAAACTAGCCCTTTACAGGTATACGTCACCACGGCAGCTATGACAAAAAAAACAGGCTTCAGACAGAAAATTGAGGGCTGGAGGGACAACACTAACAATTGGAAATATCTGAAGTTTTCTCAGAAGCATCAAAGTTGGGTTTTTTTCCCTCCCCTCTATTTTCCTTTGGCCCAGACACGGCGCTTGCCTCGCCAGGCTGACTCCCCGAACTCTGCTGACTGAAGGCACATCTCGCTCCGCAGCGTAAACACATTAGAGCTTGACACAACCTTAATGACAGCCACGTTATAATTAAGGCTTTACAAGCGGAGACAGCTTTGTCAAGAAACACAACACAGATCTCAGCTTTGGCCAAGCTGCTGTTAATACCTGGATCTGCTCAGGTGAGCGAGAAGAGGAAGGTGACTCACCGGCCACCTCAAACCACATTACAAGGCTGCTGACTCCCAGTAAAACCCTCCCAGTAACCACCCCTGGGATTTCAGCACGCCGTCCCAATATTTATGTTCAAAGGAGCAAGTATGACACAGCGCTGGTACTCGGCATTAAAGGAAAAGTCTCCCAGCTCGGTGTCCTGCTGACAACAGTGAAGCCAGCCCATATAATGCTGAATTATCTACGCTTACACATGCTTAGGCTCTGCTAAGTATTTATTAAGAAAAATATATAAACAGCTGGCTGTAGCCTGCTTCATTCTCTGTCAGAAGGAGAAGGCATTTCAAATATATTAAGTTTCTCGGGTCAACCTGGCTCTTCCCAGCGTACACTGTTAGCACTCGCATGTAAATATTTAAAAATCAAAGCCAAGCACGAGGCAGGACTGGCTGAAAAAGCACCGGCCGCGTTTCCCTGCCAGCCCGGCA